CCCCCGCTCTTGCCAAACTCAAATAAATGTCGTTTTCCTAAAGAGTACGACTAAACTCTCTATGTAATTCCAATTTTTTTCCAACAGTGTATCTGAACTATTATAGGGAAGTATTGAGGCTTGTGAATATCAAACTTGAAAAGAAGTATTAATGAAATATTTTATTTCATTCTATTATGCTTATAGTCGTTTGATTGTCTCGGTAATTACTCATTTAAAGATGAAATGTCGAAAAACATTTTTCTGAGAGAAACGATTGTCTACAAAAAAGATTTCTGAATATTTTATTTTAAAATCAGTCCTTGCCAAGTTAATTACACCCAGAGAAATAGTTTATCTGGATTAAGGCCCGGGTGTACTATCTTTCGAATGTTATCTGGATTTTTTTCATCTTTTGTAATCCAAAATTGTCAATTGAGTGGTATATCATGTAGAAATTCCCAAAAATTATGACAGAATGATAAAAAAAATAGAAAAAACTTGAACTTTTTCAAAGAGAGTTTTTAATTGAGATTCAGAATAAGTTGAAAAAGATGGAAATTACAAATACCTGATTTGCTGCGGCAAATTATCTATTAGCTGTCATTTTCCATAGTGGATAACAAAACACTAACTTCTCATGGGAAGTGACAGCTAGGTATCTCAATTGTCAAAACAGTGGTATGTAGTCATCTGCCATTTTTATGCGATAAAAGTGTGATTAAAAAAATCTCCAAAATATTACAACTTTTTTCAAAGAGCTTTTTCCGTAATAAATGTCTCTGTGCAGTGTGGGAAAAGATTTACGAAATCAGTCTTCTCCCTGCATGATATTGGGTGACAAGCCGCCATTTGTCACCATAAATCAGATACATTCCTGTGGGTGTAGCGTTTTCGCATTGTTAACTTGAATAATTGTTTTATTCCGAGTTTAGTGACATAAACTTGCTGTTATTTGGGAAGGAGAGGAGACAGTAATTACCTGCATCCTGGTCTTCACAACGTCGATTGGTGTGTTACCATAAACAGAAGCTGCGCCAGCACAAGCTCCGAAAAATCCAACGACGAGTTTAGGCACAGGTTTATTATTGTCACCGCCTCGGTACCAATCCTTGCATGATTCCATGACGAAAAATCGGATTGCCTGGTTGGAACCTTGTTTCATTATTGTTGGCACTAGTCCCTGATAAACTCCTTTGAATCCTGTAATGATAAAAATAGTTTAAATAAAAACTTTTTCTCAATTTCGACCCAGGTTTTTTTTTAAGTTTGCGAATTTAAGATTTCTGCTGAAATGCTCTTTAGAGTAGTGTAGACATGACTTAAATTCTGTCGTGAATTGGTAAACTAAGATAAGTGCACTTAAAAGAAAAATATTTTTTTTTGTCAAATTGCTTCCACAAATTATTGGAAAGTAATTTAGCCAAAGAACGCATTTTCGAAAAAAATGCATTTATCCTAGTTTATCAATTCACCACAGAATTTTGAAGACGAAAATCTGAAATCAATTCTAAACGAAAAGTTGATATGAATAAAAACATTCTGGTTGAGTTTATACTCAATTGGTATTATTGATAATAGTATTATTGATAATAATTAATTAAACAATAGCAAGATAGCACAGTCTTCTGAGAAAATGAATTTTTCGAGATTAGAAAGAAGATTAAAATGCAGAAAAAATCCACAAAAATGGGGGAAAAAATCAATAAAAATGTTATGACTAATACAAAAATTATCATCAGTGTCAAACTTTTGTGATAAATAATTTATGTTTCTGGGTACCCCAAATATATAGGATCTCCTAATCCAACGAGCAATTATTATTTAAGAAAATAAATGTAGCGAAAATTCGATGGGTTAATGTTTTACGCTCATTCATGTAAAAAATTCATGTAAAAAATCATCAATGATGAATAATTTTTTTTCGGGCATTAAAAATCAAATTGATGATAAATATAAAATATAAAGAAAATAAAAATAAATAAATTATAAAATTTAAATAATTTAAATTTAATAATTAATTAAATTTAAATTAATTTTTCCTCACTGCACCCAACGACTTACGTGGAGTTTCGATATACTACTTTAAGTAAGGAAATTAGTCTTTTATATTTTTCTTGCAATAAATTCCGTTAAAAATTTGGTTATTTAATTTGATAATGAAAGAGACTAAGAGTAATTAAATGAGTCTTGCGAACACCTCAGAGTGATTTAGAGAATAGTATCGAGGCATTTTTTTTCGTCAAACTCCCTACAAATTACTACTGCATTTTTACATTTGTCTCTCGCATGAAGTTCCCTCTTATCTCCTCGACTCGTCATTATCACTCTAATGAGTGGCACCAACAAACTCATCAGTATTCATAAGACAAGTGAATATTTTCATTCAGAAATTTTTAATCATGGTGAGAATCCTTGCGCAGAGTTTTCGTCTACGTAAACAGCATTGAATTGCCCCGTTTTTTGTATTCTTTTTTAGTTACGAAAACAGCCAGGAACTTTGACCACTCGTGTGTTCCAACGTTACGAGACATTGTGATTCAGTCAAGGTGAGAAATCCCAGCACCCGTTACTGTGTTCAATGACTGAGTTTATTTAAGTGCAAATGCTCATCATCCGATATTGCAATTTTTTTCTTTTTTCCTGAGAATTATCATCGGATTGCATCGCGGATCCGCAGATGCTCTATCTGTGCTATCGCTCTCGTGGCGTCAAATTATGTAACGAGATTACATTGGAGTTATGAGTGAGAGGGAGCATATATCAAAAAACAATTCTACTTAGGGGAGGGTGGGGCAAAATGGAACTGTGGGGCAAAATGGAATAGCGGGGCAAAATGGAACGTGGGGCAAAATGAAACGGTACAAAAAATTTCTTATCCCAAGAAATTTCTCCTCAAGAGATGAAATATTTGGCAGAAGAAATTAGTTTTGTGATATTATGACGATTTTATGATAAAATGAGATAAAATGTGACATTTTCCTCTCCTTTAGTAGGCTAAATAGTTGAAAGAAAACTGAAATTTCATGAGCAGTTGCCTAAATATTTTCAAAACAATGACTGATTTCGATACAGGAGAAAAATAATGAAAATTCATTGGAATTCGAAATTTTTGAAGAGCAGAAAGATGATAATTCCTCAACTCATCTTAATTTTCAATCAAAACATTAGTAAACTTTAGTAAATTAAATCATATAATGTATTCTTCACTTTTCAATCAATTGAAAATTCAAAAATTCATTTACCTTAACGTTCCAGATTTCTATTAATTTTCAAGAAAAGGGGTGAGTGGGGCAAAATGGAACGGTAGTGAATTTTGGTTTTAAAAAATTATAGGACCTTTTTTTAATATTCAATTTATTCATAGAACAATAATAATACTCCAAAGGTCTTATTTATTTATCTATAATCGTCTATTACTCTATAATTGAATTTACAGACATATCAGATTTTTCTTCAGTTGTTTAACCTTGAATTATCTTTTTTACAATGAAGATAGCAAAATTTTTATAATGACCTTTTTTATAGCCCTTGAAATTCTCTACAAAAAGGTCCTTATCAAAATTCTCCTATCTCCCTTAGATTACAAGATAGCGATAACTATAGAGTGGACTGATGTCACTGACTTAACCCCGAATCATCATTTATGTCATTAGGCCCGATAAACCGCGATTCTAACCTCGCTTTGCTCGGTTAGATCGCGGCTTTCGGGCCCAATGACATAAAATATCGTATGTCACACGGCGATAATAGTATATTATGTCATCAGGCGATAAAAGTATTATCTGGCGAATGTGGCTTTATAATCCGAGCCGAAGGCTTCGCCCCCCCCCGCCGGGGCCTGCGGCCCCTGATGGACCCCGCTTCTGCGCCCCCACCCCACCACCTCATCCGGCCTTCGTGACAAAAAATAGTATATGTCATACGGACCGTGACGCCGGTTTGCGATTCGTGTGACATAATATACTATTACCACTTCGCTACTGAATTTATAAACATGAAGAGATCAATTTTAGAACAGAAAAAATCATCAATTCAAGAACAGGAATGTTTTCAATTTTCTAGTTGGTTCAGAATAACAGAGAAAAGTAGACCGAAATTATGACATGAGAATAATTGACATCACATGATGTCACGTGTTCTTCAAACCTGACGGACTCTAAAACGTGATGTCATGTGACGCCCCAAAAAAGTCTATTGACATAGTGTCTTAAAATCAATTATATCATCACTGAGATAATGGAATAATTGATCGATTTTCATCCATCCCTCTTGTACCCATTAATTGTTGAATGATATTAATTAGATCAATTCGAGAACACGTGATGCTATGGGAAAATTCCAAAGGATTTTCACTGCGAGAATTTTGTTTGCTACAAAAAGTCTCTTGCCATTTCCTCCCAAAAACAGTAATTTCCCAGATAACGAGCTAATTAACTCACTCTACCGCTGAATACATCTTATTAAATCCCAAATCAGCCTTTGGCGCTCACGAGTACATTATCCCACATAATTCTACAGATAACTCTTATCAGTTGCGAAATTTATTTGTTCTCAACTGCATTAGCAAATAAAAGTCAATGGAGTCAATGAGTTTTACAATGCAAAATCGACAAGGACTACTTTTTTAAATAACAAAAAAAGAGAAGTCAAAAAAAGATTCATTAAGTATTGAAAGGAGCAAAAACAATTCGATCATATTACTGAACGATATAACTTGGGTTTATTATACTATGAGATCACTTTTCCTGGAGAGACCCGCCTGTGGGGTCTTGCGACGAAACTCTAGTCGAATGTTTACTAAAAATATAAACATATGATAAAGCCTGGTGAGAAAGAAACCATAATAAAAAGGCTATGGTCTTTGTGACTTCGATATTCTTTATTCAGTTCTGCGACTGTTCTCGATGCGAGAACACGTGCTAATAAAAACCAAATCTAATTGCTCTAACAAAAGTGTCTTTTATTTATTCACCTGGCTTCCAATAAACCAATATTAAGGATTTATGATTGAAACTAGTTTTTTTTAAACTATAAAAATAACAATAGATTCATATATTCTATTTTTATTAATCTATTATAAGAATGCGTTAATTATTTCAATTTCAAATGCATTGAATTTAATGGATTTTGAAGGACGAACAGAAAATAAATTAATGATCGTTAAATGATCTATAACTGACGATTAAAGTTATGAATAGTCAACGAACGATTAATTATTTATTTTATGCATCTTTAACGAGATTCGTCACAAGAAGCTGGCGACTGGCCATCGCCCGAGGGCCTTCAGCCTGATATTGTCATTTTCTATGCAACACCTTGAAATAATTAATTATTAAGGTCAATTCTCAGTTGGCACTTTGCTTCAATCATCCTGAGACTTACCGAATTACCAATTATTGTTTTTTTTCTGTATGCTTTTGGTTCTATGTTTTATTATGCGAACTCGGTTAGCATTAGGTTATGCTAATCCACTCTGAACCTGCCAATTTGTTTTCCATATTTTTATTCCCATATTTTTATTTTTTATATCTTTACTATGGTTCCTTAACCCCTCTTGTACGGGTTGGATGTATGGCATCAACCCATGAAAATATGAATGACTCTCTTTGCAATTGATTATTTCCAAAACTACGGAATTTAACTCAACCAAATAAATAACAACGAAAGAAGTAATACTGTAGCTTCAATTACATATCGGTTTCATAATTTTCCATTGATCAGAAATCATTACATTCTACACTGAGAGAAAAACGACAAAGTTCTCAAACAAGTCTTACTTGTGCCAAGAAAATAGTTTTTTGAAAATTATCAAAAAAGGATGTTTTTGTGCCAAACATGCAGAGAGTGCCCCGGAATGAAAATTTTTTGTCGCAAAAATAGATTTAGTAGTTCATAACAAATTGCATTCTCTGTACACGCAAGAAATGTCATTTCTAGCACCACTCCTTCGTTTTTCGATACTCCCATACGTATGTTGCTCCCGAAAAATCTTTGTTTTATGCGGAGCAAGGGATAGTAGTTTTTCGTTCCGGCTGTCTAATAATCACAGACGAGAAATGAACCCTTAAATGAAACAATAATAATTATATGATAGCAATCTTGTAACTTCGGGATAAAATATTTGTTGATAAATTTTCCTGTATATGAGATATTTTCATCCTGAAAAGGCGCCGTCTGGGGTGAATTATCCGCCTCTTGAGCCAAATATTTCGTTGCTGTCGAAAGCAGAACAATTATTCATGTTTGAGACTTTCAAATTCGAACCAAACAAATTATTTTTTGGAAATTTTCAACTAGCGATTTTGTTGGCCCAAACAAGACTTGTTTAACAACGTGTTTGTTTTTCTCGCAGTGTAGTTGTATTAATCGTACTCCAAGCTTGGATACAAAAAGGCCCCGTCCGTGAGGGGCTAATCGTTTATCTTGGTTTTGTTAGGCTTATGCTTTTGTCTTCATTTTGCGTAAAATGGACACTTTTGACTTTTTTAAAAATATTAGTGACGAGTTGAAATGTTGATGAAATTTAATAATTTTTTTTTCAATACAAAGAACAATTCTTTCACTTTGAGATGGGCCTAAACTGACCTCTATTGTTACATTTGTTTCTGAGTTATGAATAATTTTAAAAAAGTCTAAAGTGTCCATTTTACCCTACCTTCCCCTACTTTCGAACGTTATCTCGGTGTTTTTTTTTTCATCTTTCGTCATCTGAAATTGTCAATTAAGTCCTGCATTATGCAGAAGTTTTGAAAAATTATGAATGAATATTTAAAAAAAAGTAGAAAAAATTCTTAATTTTTTCAAAGAGCATTTTTAATTTATATTTAGAATAAGTTGAATAACAAGAAATTGAAAAATGTATCTGATTTACGGTGACAAATGGCGACCTGTCACCCAATATCATGCAGGGTGAAGACTGATTTCGTAAATCTTTTCCCGCACTGCACAGAGACACTTATTACGGAAAAGGCTCTTCGAAAAAAGTTGTAATATTTTGGAGAATTTTTTAATCACACTTTTATCACATAAAAATGGCNCTTTCGAACGTTATCTCGGTGTTTTTTTTTTCATCTTTCGTCATCTGAAATTGTCAATTAAGTCCTGCATTATGCAGAAGTTTTGAAAAATTATGAATGAATATTTAAAAAAAAGTAGAAAAAATTCTTAATTTTTTCAAAGAGCATTTTTAATTTATATTTAGAATAAGTTGAATAACAAGAAATTGAAAAATGTATCTGATTTACGGTGACAAATGGCGACCTGTCACCCAATATCATGCAGGGTGAAGACTGATTTCGTAAATCTTTTCCCGCACTGCACAGAGACACTTATTACGGAAAAGGCTCTTCGAAAAAAGTTGTAATATTTTGGAGAATTTTTTAATCACACTTTTATCACATAAAAATGGCAGATGACTACATAACACTGTTTTGAAAATTGAGATACCTAGCTGTCACTTCCAATGAGGAGTTACTGTTTTGTTATCCACCATGGAAAATGACAGTTAATAGATAATTTGCCACAGAGAATCAGATATTTGTAATTTCCACTTTTTTCAACTCATTCTGAATCTCAATTAAAAACGCTCTTTGAAAGAGTTCAGAATTTTTTCCATTTTTTTAATGATTCTATCATAATTTTTGGAAATTTCTACATGATGTACCACTCAATTGACAATTTTGGATTACAAAAGATGAAAAAAATGCAGATAACATTCGAAAGATAGTACACCCGGGCCTTAAGAGTAAACAATTCGATGAACGAAATCAATCAAGGGTCAAATGACTAAATTAATTGATTCATTGACTCAATGAAATGTGATGACTTACCATTTTCCTTAATAATGAGTCCAACCCCATGGAAGAACCCCCGGAATCGCGGATTGGTTGACCTCTGATCGTTGATGAATTTCACTTTAACAGTCTCCATAGGCGTAACGGCAAAAATAGCCTCGCAGACACCGGCGCAGAGACCGGCGAGGAGTCTCCTTTGGGCATTCAGCTTGCCATCGTCATCGACCAACTGCTTCTTCACGGTCTCGAAGGATCCGAATCTCACCGCGGATTTCGGTATCGAGCCGTAAACCAGGACTGACAGTCCTCGGTACAACCCAAGGACTCCATTTGTTTGCACTGTTTTTTTAATGCAGTCTACAATGCCCGAGTATTGCTTCCCAGCACCGGCTTTTCCATCCAATTGTAATTGAGTTTTGACGTATTCGGTAGGGTACGTTATGCAGATCTCAATTCCACCAGTGATTCCCCCTGAATAACAAATTGGGGGATCAGTGGATTTTTTTTGTCTCGTCTCTTGCACAAATGGAAATGAATTCAGGAAGATGAATATCTGGTTATTAATTCATCTGTTTCTTTAGTCATATTTTTATACAATTTTCCGCATATAATGTAATAGATTTATCTGATTATTTGAATTATTTCTCACAGAATTTTTTATCAAATCTGGTGATTATAAGATGGTTATAAAAAATTACTAAATAAATGATAGAATTGTTTCATCTAGTTAGTTCATCTTTTTTTGTCATTTTTATCATTTATTTTTCATTTATTCAAAAACTTTTAATGGTTTCAGGGCTACTTCAATTTCTTCAGAGTAAATTGGGGCGAGTGCACTCAGTCAATTATTTATCATGTTACCAGAACCATTAATTCATTCATTTATAGAAATGTTTTTTTATCATGGCAAATATTTTTTTTTTACGAAACCCATTTACGAATTTTTTTGAATGAATGCGTTGTTATGAGATTAATAATTAATCTGATTATTTTTTTTCTTTCTGGAGATCTCAATTTTACAGTGAATTTTTCAAGACTCGTTATTATCTCGTGACATTTTTATGATTTTCCTGTCCGAAAAATTTGAAAGGAGGCAGTAAATGCACTCGAACAATTTATCATCTGTTACTGGAACCATCAATTCATTCATTTATATAAATTTTAATTCATGGTAAAATTTTCTGCCAATTCTAAAAATCATTCCTATTAAATCTTTCATAAAATCAATGCATCCTTCAATATTTCCGAATTTTCTTGGATGATTCTGTTGTCATGAAATAAATCTAAATCTCAACTCCACCAGTGAGTTCTCATGAGCAAGTCATTAGAATTATCGTTCATATTTCGTTATGCAATTTCATTTCGTATTATTCTCACGATTATTTTATTTAAAGAATTCACTGTCGTGAGGTTTATAAATTGAAGGAAGAATGCCCTAAATTACGAGTCTAAAGCTCAAGAACACTCGGTCACTAGATTACCATTTGACACCAGACCTAGGAATTCATCCATTTATGCATTTTTCTATTCAATTTTTCGCTAGTTCTAAAAAACCATTTTCACTAAATTTTTCCTAAAATCAATGCATCCTTCAATTTTTCCAATTTTTTTGGATGATTGTATTAGAATGAAATAAATTATTCCTATTCATATCTAAATCTCAATTCCATCTGTAATTTTTTATGAACAAATCATGAGAATTATCGGTCAAACCTCGTTACCCAATTTCTTTTCGTATTATTGTCCCAATTATTTTATTTTAAAAATTCAATGGTTCAAGGTCCATCAATTGGAGCAAGAATATTCCAATTTAGTAGTCTCAAGTTCAAGGACACTCGGTCACTAGTTTACCGTCTGACACTCGAACCATCAATTCATTTATTTATCCATATTTCAATTCATCGTAAATTTTTTTAATAAATAAAAAAAAATCATTCTCATTAAATTTTTCAAAAAATCAATGAATCCTTCAACATTTACGAATGTTCGTGGATGATTATAATAGAATAAAATAAATTCGGTAGCGAGGCGGTAAAACGGTTTAAGTCGACTTATTTCCTAGAAGACTTTTTGAGGAATAGTTCCGAATCTAAGGAAGATAGCGAAATTTTTGTTATTACATTTGTTGTAGCTCTCAATCGGCTCTACAAAAAAGGTTATAACAAAAATTCTGCTATGTCCCTTAGATTTCGATATATTTATTGAAAACTAGTCAATAGTCAAAATTGACTTGTACCGTTTTACCACTTTACTACTGAATTATTGCTATTCATATCTACATCTCAATTCCACTACTAATTTTTTATGAACAAATCATTAGAACAAATAATTATGATCAGGGGAGGATAGGGTAAAATGGACACTTTTGACTTTTTAAAAAATATCCATAACTCAGAAACAGATTTATCAATTGAGCTCAGTCTCAGCTCATCACAAAGAGGAATCATTGTTTTTCAATTGAAAAATAAAATGACTCCATTTCATAAATAATTCAACACGTCATGAATATTTCAAAAAAAGTCCAGTGTTCATTTTACCCTCCCCTATTTCGTCTTAAAAATTCAATGTTTTAACGTGCATAAATTGGAGCAAGAATGTTCCAAATTAGTCGTCTCAAGTTCAAGGACACTCGGCCACCAGTTTACCGTCTGTCACCAGACCCATCAATTCATTAATTTATCCGTATTTCAATTCATCGTAAAATTTTTTGCTAATTAAAAAAAAATCATTCTCATTAAATTTTTCATAAAACCAACGAATCCTTCGATATTTTCGAACTTTCTTGGACCATCGCATAAGTATGAACTAAATTATTTCTGTTCATATCTAAATCTCAACTCCGCCAGCAATTTTTTATGAGAAAAAACCTCGTTCAATTCACTCACTCAATTTTCATCCGCGTTATTCTCCCAATTACTTCATTTACAAAATTAACGTCCCAAGGTTCATAAATTGGAGCAACAATGAACCCTGTCAACTGTTTATCATCTGTCACCGAAATTGAGGTTGGAACAACCACGAGACGCAACCGCTCTCACAACAAAAAGAGCAGAACAATACCTAGCATTCGAGAAACGCAAGTGACACGGAATTGTTAATTACCATTGAAAGAACTTGAATTGCAAATTACCCCCACCAAAAAAATAAAAAAACCACTCCAGACGTCCGTTTATTCTCCTAATGAAAATCTTACCTTGAGTTCACAACAAACAGCCCCGAAATGCAAACAAAAATGAGTAAAACACCACGAGAGAGCGAACGAATTCCGCGAAATAAAAAATTTAAATGACCTCTCGTCGACCGATAAATCCATAAACACTCGACGGATCCTAAAATAAAGCCCTCCAAAATTACGAAAAAACCCAGAGCGCTGTTGGAACGTATCGTGAGTCCATGAAATCCCGTAAACACAAGTGCAAAAATAAACTTCCAAGGTGAAAGTAACAAACTCACCGGCGATGATTCCCTTGACGCCGACGTTCGTCGTAGCCGGGGCGGCAGCGGCACGATCCTGGAGCCAAGGTCTCGACGGATAGGGATTGCCTGNAAAAATATCCATAACTCAGAAACAGATTTATCAATTGAGCTCAGTCTCAGCTCATCACAAAGAGGAATCATTGTTTTTCAATTGAAAAATAAAATGACTCCATTTCATAAATAATTCAACACGTCATGAATATTTCAAAAAAAGTCCAGTGTTCATTTTACCCTCCCCTATTTCGTCTTAAAAATTCAATGTTTTAACGTGCATAAATTGGAGCAAGAATGTTCCAAATTAGTCGTCTCAAGTTCAAGGACACTCGGCCACCAGTTTACCGTCTGTCACCAGACCCATCAATTCATTAATTTATCCGTATTTCAATTCATCGTAAAATTTTTTGCTAATTAAAAAAAAATCATTCTCATTAAATTTTTCATAAAACCAACGAATCCTTCGATATTTTCGAACTTTCTTGGACCATCGCATAAGTATGAACTAAATTATTTCTGTTCATATCTAAATCTCAACTCCGCCAGCAATTTTTTATGAGAAAAAACCTCGTTCAATTCACTCACTCAATTTTCATCCGCGTTATTCTCCCAATTACTTCATTTACAAAATTAACGTCCCAAGGTTCATAAATTGGAGCAACAATGAACCCTGTCAACTGTTTATCATCTGTCACCGAAATTGAGGTTGGAACAACCACGAGACGCAACCGCTCTCACAACAAAAAGAGCAGAACAATACCTAGCATTCGAGAAACGCAAGTGACACGGAATTGTTAATTACCATTGAAAGAACTTGAATTGCAAATTACCCCCACCAAAAAAATAAAAAAACCACTCCAGACGTCCGTTTATTCTCCTAATGAAAATCTTACCTTGAGTTCACAACAAACAGCCCCGAAATGCAAACAAAAATGAGTAAAACACCACGAGAGAGCGAACGAATTCCGCGAAATAAAAAATTTAAATGACCTCTCGTCGACCGATAAATCCATAAACACTCGACGGATCCTAAAATAAAGCCCTCCAAAATTACGAAAAAACCCAGAGCGCTGTTGGAACGTATCGTGAGTCCATGAAATCCCGTAAACACAAGTGCAAAAATAAACTTCCAAGGTGAAAGTAACAAACTCACCGGCGATGATTCCCTTGACGCCGACGTTCGTCGTAGCCGGGGCGGCAGCGGCACGATCCTGGAGCCAAGGTCTCGACGGATAGGGATTGCCTGGAACTCCCCTCGGTGACGCTGGAGACAACTGTTTCGACAACCAGGTCGGATCCATTTTTTAAATTATTTTTTTTTAATTCTAGTGTGATCACTTGTTTATTTAGAAAAATAAATATAGATTTATTTGTGGGGCACTTGGCCACCTCCTACCGTCGGCCGCCGGAGGAGAACTGGAATTACTGCGTGAAAGCTAAATCGCCCCCCACCCACGCTCGCCCCCCCCAGTGCAACCCCCTCTGCATGGATGAGTTGTTATCATTCGATGCTCACTATTATCTCAAAACCCATTTTTTTGCCGTTCGTTGTCAGTATCAATGGTTTTTCTAGTTCTTACATTCATTTTTACTGGCGAACGGACGCTTCGCGCCCGTCACTGGATTAATTTATACTATTTCATTTTATTTCCATTTCCGTCTTTGGAATTAAATTAATTTAATTTTATCCTTTTTCTCATCTTAATAATTTTTAATTATCCGTACAAAAAACAAAAATCGTAAAGATGATGATGATGATGATTATTCAATAATAATTATAATATTATGATGATTATTAATAATAATAATAATTATTATTATTTATGAATAAATAATTCATAAAATAAGAATAAAAAATTGTTGGATTTCAATTTGCTGATGGAAAGTTATTGATGATTAAAAAAGGCCCATTTTCCCCTCGCTCACCTATTGACAAAATTATTGAATTGAAGAAAATGTTTTTTCTTGTACATATTCGAATGATTTTTCTAAATGATTCCGATGTTATAAAATTATATAGTGTTGTCGATTTCTGGAAATCTCAATTCCAGTGATAATTGTCCGTAAAAAAACAGGAATCATAAAAAATATGATGATGATCTTGTTCCGTCTTATTTTAGTGAATTATTTATTCATAAAATAAGAATAAAAAATTGTTGGATTTCAATTTGTTGATCGAAAGTTATTGATGATTAAAAAGGCCCATTTTCCCCTCGCTCACCTATTGACAAAATTAGTGAATTAGAGAAAATGTTTTTTCTTATGCATATTCGAATGATTTTTATAAATGATTCCGATGTTATAAAATTATTTAGTGTTGCCCATTTCTGGAAATTTCAATTCCAGTGATAACTGTCGATAGAAAAATAGAAAAGCGTAAAAATAATTATTTACACTTCGCTATTCTCTCGTTAATGTTTCTTTGTATCATTTTTATAAATTATAAGTCATTTGATTTTTCAATTTTTCAAAATTTGATTTAAATTTCTCGAGAAATCCTGTGAAAAGAAAAAGTAAGAAGCTTAATATTTTCCTCTTTCGATCACTACACAATCCTCGGATGATTAAAATGTTTCATTTTCCCCTCCGTTCACTCCTCACCTTTCGGTAAAAATATGGGATTGAAGGAATTTTTTCTTATCCATTCGAATGATGGGAAGGGCATTCGAATGAAATGAGGGGGAATGACTCATTGAGAATGTTGTGGAGATATTATCATGGACATAGTTCGGAAAACGATGGTTCTATTGGACAGTCTCAAAGAATGGTTTTCATGAGGTATTTGAACAGCTCCAAAAATATTTTCTAGACATTTTTTCTTCCGAGCGATCATTGGTAGGTAATTTTATCAACTTCGATCGTTTCTTATTTTTTCATTTGTCACTGAAAATGTTGACGGAAATAATTCTGTTCGCTTATTCGGGGGATTGGGAAGGGATTCGGGAAAATTTCAGTTTTTTCATCGGCGAATAGAGGCATTATAATCGTCAAATTTCCGGTAAGGATCAGTAACATGTTCACCGAAATTTCAACGAATTTTATCAATGAAAATTTATGTTTTCATCAAAAAATCCGTGGAAAGTATAAATTTCAGTTTTATTATTCTGGGAAAATTAATGAAAAATCAGAAGAATTCAGAGAAACCTCTCCTTGAATTCCAGATTCCTTTGAATTTTCAGGGAATTCATTCAAAAATTCCTGCAATTTCAAGAACTTTATAGGAATTCCCTGGAAATTCAAGGGAATTTGGCAGTGAATATTCATTTTTACATGAAAATTCATGTAAATTGTGAAGTTTTCATGAGTGTTTTTACAATTGTTATTTTTACCCTTGTGACTCCTAGTTTCTGACTCCCATGACCCTTATTTGGAACCTTAATCTGACCCTGGGACCCTTATTCTGATCCTCACGACGATTATTTTGATACCTGTGACCCTTATTTCGACTCTTGTGGCCCTCAATTTTGCAGCCTCAATTTCGAGACCAAATATTCATCACCAGAAGTCGATTTGGATTTTTACAATACAGAGAGATTACGAACCTATAGGATTCCATGCAGAATCACTCTGTACCAATGTCCTCGGGACTCCTTTATATGATTTTTTCATCCGTGCAAAATCCCAAAGAACAAAATAATTAAAAAAAGGAAACCTCCACCTCCTTTCAAAAACATTTATTAACCAAAAGTGCTCAGAATTAAATTGAAAAAATGTTTAATTCCACTGAAATCTTAAATGCTGAAACCTAGTTTATTTTTAAACACAAATTCGGCCGTGAAAACGACCACGCCACATTCTCGTCTTTTGTTCCCCTTGAATTTACCACCCAGGGGTAGTATTGGCAAGTCTCCTCATGCGTCGAGTGTTCCTGTCCTGATCCCTGATCTTCTTCTCCATCTCAGCATCAGTGAGTGTCTCGAGGAAAGGCGCCCACTGGTCAGCCTCTGAGGGAGGTCTGAAGGGCACTTCAACGGTTGGCAGTGGAGCCTCAGAGAAGGCGTAAGTCCTCTGATGCCACGACAATTGGCCCCTGACACTGTAAGCAATTGCAGTCACGAATTCCCCTCCAAGTCCCAATTCTGCGCAGAGTTTCATGGCGAATTTCTCAGGATTGTTCTCCTTCTCTGACATGTCCCATTCCACTTGATCCACCAGCGATGTGTTCCCCACATGAATGTTCAGCTTGATGATGACTCGCTGGTCGCACTGATCCTCCAAAATTGTCTCCTGGGGGAAGGCCTCGATCTGCTGTCTGATTGCCTGGGCTATTGCTGGAACGAAGGTCAAGGGGTTGAGATCCAGGTCGTCGCAGAGAACCTCTGCGAATTGCTCTGGGGTTATGAGACTCTCGTTCTTGTTCCATGTGAAGGTGTCACGTAATTTCTGGCCCTCGATCTCCATGTCCAGACGGATGGGCACCAGCAACTCTTGTTGGGCTGCGTTCTCCAGATTCGCTGAAGGATCTGTGTCGTCGAAGCTAGGGGAGAGAGGATTTTATCAGTGGTTTGTGAGAGATTTGATTGGTGGAGGTTTTAAGAGGGATTCGTCGATTATTTTTGAGATATCTGAGGAAAAAGGGATTTGGAGAGAAATTCGGAGGGACAATTTTGTGGGTAATTTTGGAAGCTACAGAAAATGTCTGTTTGAAACACAGCTAGAGTATCCAGACTGAGAAGACAAGAGTTTTTTGAGAGGTACGTTTTTAAAGCCCGGATGTACTACTTTTCGAACGTTATCTCGATTTTTTTTTTCATCTTTCGTCATCTGAAATTGTCAATTGAGTCCTGCATCATGCAGAATTTTTGAAAAATTATGACTGAATAATCAAAAAAAGTAAAAAAAATTCTTAATTTTTTCAAAGAGCATTTTTAATTTATATTCAGAATAAGTTGAATAACAAGAAATTCAAAAATGTATCTGATTTACGGTGATAAATGGCGGCCTGTCACCCAATATCATGCAGAGGGAAGACTGATTTCGTAAATCTTTTCCCACACTGCACAGAGACATTTATTACGGAAAAGGCTCTTTGAAAAAAGTTGTAATATTTTGAAGAATTTTTTAATCACACTTTTATCACATAAAAATGGCAGATGACTACATACCACTGTTTTGAAAATTGAAATACCTAGCTGTCACTTCCCATGAGGAGTTAGTGTTTTGTTATCCACCATGGAAAATGACAGCTAATAGATAATTTGCCACAGCGAATCAGATATTTGTAATTTCCACTTTTTTCGACTCATTCTGAATCTCAATTAAAAACGCTTTTTGAAAAAGTTCAGAATTGTTTCTATTTTTTTTTATCATTCTATCATAATTTTTGGGAATTTCTACATGATGAATCACTCAATTGACAATTTTGGATTACGAAAGATGAAAAAAATCCAGATAACATTCGAAAGATAGTACACCCGGGCCTTAGACCGTTTTACCATTTCGCTACTGAATTGTAAGATGAATTCACCCAGACACTTTGCAGAAGATCACGAGATCTTGTTTAAAATTCATGAAGTTGAAAACAAAAATCACGACATTTTCTCCTCAACTCACTCATCATCAGACTACTGTCACCTCTAAGAAAATGTTGAGAATCAATTCGTTCTCTCGTATCGATTGAAATCCAAACGTAAATTTACCACAAGGGGAATGTCCTGACTTTCTTATTGTGAACTCTGTTCCGATTGATGGGTGTAGCTTGTGGCACAGCATCCAAATGCGAGCTGTTAGGTAAGCTAGGCACCCAGGGCATCGTTTTCTTGGACTTGCCCTCCCGCGGGGCAGGCGGTTCAGTGGAGTGTACAGACACAGCCTTATATTTATCGTCATTCCCCTCGATTATGTCCTCTACTTCACTGGCTCTCAGCAGGGAAACACTCGAGGCCAAGACGTGTTGACTCAGCCCCAGCTCCACCAATTTCTTCCTCTCGTCGTTTGTGATAGATCTTCTGTACATCCCTGGGTAGCGTTTGTAGAGGGATCCACGGAAGAGGCGAAGGTAGTTACCCACCTCTGAACCGATGCAGTAGTACTCCCCATTTTCCTCGACTTGAAAACTTATGGGCTTGTCACCGTACGTCCTCAACGCCATTTTTAGGTTTTTTTTATTGACTTGTTCCACTGGAAAAAATAATTATTATGAATGCGACGCATACAAGGCAACTTCTTATCCTACGCTGAGGGAAAAATGACTGAGTTCTTAAAAAAGTCTTACTTGTGCCAAAAAAATTTTTTTTTAATTATCAAAAAAGAATTTTTTTGTGGCACACATGCAAAGAGTGCGCCGAGGTGGAAATTTTCTGTCGCAAAAATTGATTTGGTAATTTCAAAATAACTGTATTCTCCGTGGAAACAAGAAATTTCATTTCTAGCACTACTTCTTCGGTATTCGATACTCGTATCGGTTGAGTATGAATTTGGAGAGAACTGTCAAAAGATCTTTCTGTGGAAATTTCCTCGACTAGAAAAAATATGTCGATTTTTCTCACGATCTACCAGGTCCAGAGGTATTTATAGGATTTTTATTTGAATTCTAAAAATCACTAAAAAATATATAAAATACCTCATTTACTAACACATTTACTAATTCAACTCGACGGCTTTCGCAATTCTGGAATAAACTGATCGATTTTAGTGAATTAAGTGGGGAGCAATGAAGAATTCATTTCCTTGGCTCCAGTAACTCCAGAAAGAATGGATTAAAAAGTGATTTTCCATTACTCTACCAACTCGCGGATTTTACCCGATATTATAAACCTTGTAGAACACCGGAATCATCGGCAATTACTCGCATTGTTCACGATTTCCCCTCATTGTTGTGTTTTAGACGTTTTTGAGCGGTGGAGGCTACTCTCCGAACCGATATCTCGCCCTCAATTTCGATCAGAATCGCCTCGAAAATTAACCCTTAGGGGAGAGTGGGGCAAAATGGACACTTTAGACTTTTGTTTTAATTACTCATAACTGAGAAACAAATTTATCAATTGAGCTCAGTTTAGTCTCATCACAAAGGGAAAGAATTGTTCTTTGCAATGAAAAAAAAATTATTAAATTTTATCAACATTTCAACTCGTCATTAACATTTTTTAAAAAAGTCAAAAGTGCCCATTTTACCCCAACCTCCCCTACTACTTACATTACCACTTAATCTCTGTCTCACCTTCTATCAACACTTCTCCCCCAACAAAATCTTCATCAAAACTCCCAAATCAATCTTTATCCAGTAAATTTCATAATCCCTGTTAACTACGAATTTCGACAGAACTCTCAGAAAATCTTGGAAAATTATACAACTAGAAAAAATATCTTCATTTCTTCTCCAGATCTGCTAGATCCAGAGAAATTTACAAGGGTTTTATTTTAATTCTTTCAACTCTAGAAATTATTTCAAAATATTGAAAATCTCTCCAGCCCATTTCCTAATTCAATTCAAGCGTTTTTTGAAATTTTGTAATCAACGCATCCACTTTACTGAATTAAACCAAGAGCAATGAACTACTCATTTCCTCAACTCCATTATCTCCGTAAAAATCGATTTAAAAGCCATATTCCATCACTCGATCACCTCGTGGATTTTACCCGAATTTATAAACCTCCTGGAACACTGAAATCATCAGCAATTATTCGCATTGTTCACTATTTCCCCCTCATTGTTGTGTTTTAGACGTTTCGGAGCGGTGGAGACTACTCTCCGGACCCACATCTCCCCCCGAATTTCGGTCAGAATCACCTCGAAAATTAACCCTTACTACTTACATTACTGCTCAATCTCTGTCTCACCTTCTATCAACACTTCTCCCCCAAAAATATCAACAAAATCTTCATCAAAACTCCCAAATCAATCTTTATCCAGTAAATTTCATAATCCCTGTTAACTATGAATTTTGACAGAACTCTCAGAAAATCTTGGAAAATTCTACAACTAGAAAAAATCTTCATTTTTTCTCCAGATCTGCTAGATCCAGAGAAGTTTACAAAGGTTTTATTTTAATTCTTTCAACTCTAGAAATCGTTTCAAAATATAGAAAATCTCTCCAACCCATTTCCTAATTCAATTCAAGCGTTTTTTGCAATTTTGTGAACCAAGAGCAGTGAACAACTCATTTCCTCAACTCCATTATCTCCATAAAAATCGATTTAAAAGCCATATTCCATCACTCGATCACCTCGTGGATTTTACCCGAATTTATAAACCTCCTGGAACACTGAAATCATCAGCAATTATTCGCATTGTTCACTATTTCTCCCTCATTGTTGTGTTTTAGACGTTTCGGAGCGGTGGAGACTACTCTCCGGACCCACATCTCCCCCCGAATTTCGGTCAGAATCACCTCGAAAATTAACCCTTACTACTTACATTACTGCTCAATCTCTGTCTCACCTTCTATCAACACTTCTCCCCCAACAATATCAACAAAATCTGCATCAAAACCCCCAAATCAATCGTTTTTATAACCCCACTTTGGGAATGTCAATACACAAGCCACAACTCTCGGGCGGCGTCTCCACTTCGCTGACTGTGCATCCACTTCTGATTGGCTCCGCCATCACGGGGGATTCCCCGCCACTTTATGAACTCCACGAACTCACAAAAGTCGGCGAATCCTCGTGAAATTTTCTCTTTGAAGACGAAAAAACCCGACTGATTGCGGAGTAATTGTCAACAAATTCACGAAAACCGGACAAAAATAGACAATAACAATCCCGTAGAATCGTAAGGGCGTAAGAACTGTCTCTGCAGCTACAACGCATCCCCTTTTACCCCATAACTGTAAACGACGGGACTTTGGCGTGAGGCGATTGGTTCATGCGCGATCGGCTGATCCAACAGTCGAGTCGTTATTCATGCGTCTTACGATACGATCCAGTGACTCAGGAACTGCTGCCACTTGTTGGGCCCCTCACTCCTAACCAGTGATACTAACTACTCAGTTATCAACTCAAAAAATTTCGCATTCCAATCGGCAATCATGAGTGAAGCGTAAGTAATTGATTGATCAGTAATTCCAGCACCGAAAGGTCTTGTTTAATTATATTATCGGAACTTTTGTGGGCCCAGAGTAGCGGACATTGCGCTGATCGGCTTGGCCGTGATGGGCCAGAATCTCATATTGAATATGAACGATCATGGGTTTGTCGTTTGCGCTTACAACCGCACGACGAGCAAGGTCAAGGAGTTTCTCGAGAATGAAGCCAAGGGCACCAAGGTCGTTGGAGCCTACAGCCTCGAGGAGATGGTCAGCAAGCTGAAGAAACCACGCAGAGTCATGTTACTTGTTAAAGGTGAGTAAGCATTTATGAGGAGAAAATTGTTGGGAAGAATGTGAGAGAATGGACATTTTCATTCTGGAAATCAGTACATGGAGAGAAATTTTCTAGAAAAATTACAGTGCGAGTGGGGGAGGGTAGGGTATAATGGACACTTGACTTTTTTAAAAATATTCATAACTCAGAAACAGATTTATCAGTTGAGCTCAGTCTAAGCTCATCACAAAGAGGAATCATCTCCTAAATAAGAGAATGTTCAATTAAACATTAGCTTTTAATTTAGATATGTGAATTCCTAATTTCATGGAGAAATCCACGGGAACTGTAAATTTTAGTTTAAATATTCCGGGTAAATTAATGAGAATTCAGAGAAATCTCCTTGAATTCCAGATTCCTGAATTTTCAGAGAATTCCTTCAAAAATTCCTTGGATACCAAGAATTTTAAGGAAATTGTCTGATAATTAAAAGGCATTTGGCTGTGAATATTCATTTTTACTTGAAAAATCACGTAAATTGTGGAAGTTCCATCTTCAAACAGGGCTTATAGAATGAGTCTTATTTGAACTATAAAAATCGCAACTTGATAGTTGCCAAGACAGGAATTGTTCCATTTGAACATACCAAACTTTCGAACATTCATAGTGACTCTGTTTCAACGAGTTTAAAATAATTACATTATATTAATCCGATAAAATTTTTCATTTCCGATTTTTATTCTTTGCTTTTTTTTTAATGTATTCTATCAAAATGTGAGGGTAGAAATTGAACTGATGGGTATTCTTTCATTATTTGAAAAAGTATATCAATGTTAAAACTTTTCGGAGACATTGAAAAATCGAAATTTTTATTTTCTTGCTGATCACGTATCTCTGTTCTTTTTTTCACTTTCTTCCATTGAAATTAGATCATAGAAAGGGTACATATTGATATTTTTTCGTCATTAAAAAAAAAATAAGTTTTGACATTTTTCAGAAAAATAAAAAATCGTTTTCTTTCATTTTCTTGCTGATTATCTCTCCCTGCATTTTTCTCATTTCCTCTAAATGAAATCAGATCATGAAAACGAAATTTTTCGAAATTTTCGGAAATTTTTTCGGAATTTTTCGAAATTTTTCGTTTTCATGATTTGATTTCATTGAGAAGAATTATTATATAATAGGGGAGGGTGGGACAAAATGGAACGGTGGGGCAAAATGGAACGCGGGGCAAAATGAAATGGTACAAAAAATTCTTATCCCAAGAAATTTCTCCTCAAGAGATGAAATCTTTGGCACAAGAAATTAGTTTTGTGATATTATGACGATTTTTCTCTCAGTGTATGACACCGGAACGAATGATTTAAGATAAAATGTGACATTTTCCTCTCCTTTAGTAGGCTAAATAGTTGGAAGAAAACTGAAATTTCATGAGCAGTTACCAAAATATTTTCAAAACAATGACTGATTTCGATACAGGGGAAAAATAATGAACATTCATTGGAATTCGAAATTTTTGAAGAGCAGAAAGATGAGAATTTCTCAACTCATCTGAATTTTCAATCAAAACATTAGTAAACTTCAGTAAACTAAATCATATAATGTATTCTTTAATTTTCAATCAATTGAAAATTCAAAAATTGATTGAATTTACAGACATCAGATTTTTCTTCAGTTTTTTAACCTTGAATTATCTTTTTTACAATGAAGATAGCAAAATTTTTATAATGACCTTTTTTATAGCCCTTGAAATTCTCTACAAAAAGGTCCTTATCATAATTCTCCTATCTCCCTTAGATTACAAAATAGCGATAACTACAAAGTAGACTGATGTCACTGACTTAAGCCCGAATCATCATTTTTGAGCTCACATAATGTGAAAAAAAAAGTTGTCTGAATTTTGCTCTATATTCGGTTTTTGTACCGTTCCATTTTGCCCCACCGTCCCCTACTGATATTATTTAACATAAATATCTCTTCATTTGAAAATGACAAAAACTGTTCCTAAAATTTGTATATTATAATGGGAATAGAATCCAATAAATTTAATTTAATCTGACCGCAAAGAAAAATTGGCAAGAAAACAAAATAAATTAATATAACACAATATAATCTAGCGACGGGCGCGAAGCGCCGTTCGCTAGTAAATAATAATAGTAATAAAATCAATTACAAAAAAGTCTATTAAAATTAACAAAGATGAATTATAATGTTCCTCAGCCGGACCCGCAGTGGATGCCTTCATCAAGAGCCTAGTCCCCCTCCTCTCCCCAGGAGACATCATCATCGACGGTGGAAATTCTGAATATCAAGACACGAAAAGGCGCTCCGAAGAATTGGAGAAAAACCAGATACTGTACGTTGGGTGTGGAGTAAGTGGCGGTGAGGAGGGTGCGAGGTATGGCCCCTCGTTGATGCCTGGGGGCAATCCGAAGGCATGGCCAGCGATAAAACCGATATTCCAGGCGATCTGTGCCAAGGCCGATGGAGAGCCTTGCTGCGACTGGGTAGGCGAGACTGGAGCAGGGCATTTCGTTAAAATGGTGCACAATGGCATTGAATACGCCGACATGCAGCTGGTCTCTGAGGCGTATCAACTTATGAGAGATGGCCTGGGGCTCAGCCAAGGGAAAATGGCCAGTGTGTTCGATGAATGGAACAAGGGGGAACTGTCGTCTTATCTCATTGAAATAACTCGTGATATACTCAATTACAAGAATGAAAAGGGATATCTGCTGGAGAGGATACGAGACACAGCGGGGCAAAAGGGAACGGGCAAGTGGACGGTCATTGCTGCACTGGAGTACGGAGTGCCAGTCACTCTGATTGGAGAGTCGGTGTTCGCTAGGTGCTTGTCGTCGTTGGCGAGCGAGAGAACTGAAGCACATTCGATATTCAATGACGAGCAGATTGAGGCTTTCAAGGGGGACCAGAAACAATTTTTGCAGCAACTGAAGAATGCTATTTATCTGGCGAAGATTGTCTCTTATGCACAGGGCTTCATGCTGCTCAGGGATGCTGCCAAGGTCAATAATTGGAACTTGAATTATGGGGGAATTGCACTCATGTGGAGGGGTGGCTGCATTATCAGAAGGTAATTTGGTTTTTTATAACCGGGGTTTTTTCATGTCATTACGGCGTATTTGTAGTCTCAAAAGAGCTGAGGGTATGTCATTCGTATTACGAATTGGAATAGTTCTTTTTTCGACGGTGGATAACAATCCTTTGGAACAACAAATTGGCATGTTATGTAGCATTCAATAAATTTTTTTCTTCCAATGCCAACAGTATTTTCTCAATTCTTATGAATTATGCGGAAGATAATTCTTAAGAATTAGAAATTCTTCGTAACGATATCTGAAATATAATAAGGAGCATAATACATATTGTACATATTGTTATGAATGTCCATTTTTCCCTTTAGAATTCATTCCTCAGGTGTTTCGAAGTTTAATGACAATCGTTTGGAACAAAAAATTCCATTTGATCTAGTATTCAATACATTTTTTTTCTCTCAATCCCAACAGTATTTTATAAATAATTAAGAATTATTGAGAACAATGGAAAAATTTCGTAATGATATCCGAAATATAACACGGAGCATAATACTTATTGTTATAAATAATTTTTTTTTTATAGAATTGCATTCCATCGAGTGTGCATTCACATATTTCCATCTGAACGTTTCCTCTGAAGTTTTTTCTATTTTTTAACGCCATTCTTTCCACTCGTTTTATTGTATTGTTCACTCTAATTATCGTCTACTTATTTTAATGAATGCATTTAAAAATTCTCATGCACATTCCAATGTGATGGAGCATATTAACGTCTTCATTGAAATAGTGGAAGAAAATCGTTAACAGTATTTCATTTTTCTTTTTAAAAGCACAAATAAATACTCTTCAGCTCTGTTCTGAATAAATAATTAACAAATTGATGATTACCCCATCGATTAATAATTACTATTCAATAATTAATGTCATTATTCTCATTTTTTCAGTGTATTCCTTGGAAACATAAAACAAGCATTCGACAAAAATCCAAAATTATCGAATCTCCTGTTCGACGATTTCTTCGCCAAAGCAGTGAAAAGATGTAGATCAAGTCTTCGAGATGTCCTAGCCACTGCAGATACCCAGGGTATTCCAACTCCAGTACTCTCAGCTGCTCGTAATTTCTACGACAGCATTCGTCGCAACCGTCTACCCACGAATCTCATCCAGGCACAGAGGGATTACTTCGGTGCCCACACTTACGAACTTGTGGACGATGTGGGACGTTTTGTTCACACCAACTGGACTGGGAAGGGTGGCAATACATCAGCCTCAACGTACGATGCCTGAGAGCTAACAATTAATATTCCTATGGGGTGATACTAGGGTTAATTTTAAGGCAGTACAAAATGAACAAATCTACCTACATGATACTGTTATGCTGTTCCAAATAGTGTGGTTGTGTATTTAAGACTATTCCATATTTTTGTATGTCAATGATAATGAGCTGATTGAATTGACAACAATAAAGTTGTTAGAGAATTAAATATTTCACTGAATTATACGGGTTTATTTCTTTACCATCTTCATTTCTTCATATTCGAAGTGACTCTACCCTAACGATAAATGTACAGATAACTGAAAACGATTTTGGATTCCGAATTGTTTTTTTCTCAATTCAATGTTTTTAGGGTCAAACTTGACCTCGAATTCTGCCCCCAATTTTTAGGATTTTCTAAAAATTATCTTGAATTTTAAAAAACCCTGTCGAACCCCTGTGCATGAAAATCTGAAGAATTGGAGAATAAAAATTGCATTGACGACAATTTTCAGAATTTTCTCTATAGAAAATTTTTATAATTCACACAAAATTTCCTGAAATTTACATAATTTTGCGATTAGAAAAATTGTAAAATTTCCTTGCATTCATAAGAAAAATAATTCTGTAATTTTCTGCCGAGAACGAAAGAAAGAGACCGTATATTTATTGCATCCGAAGCTTGACAACAATAAATTTGCTCAAATTCAAACATCGGCATAATCATAAATTTTAATGACAGTTAAATTTTGAACAAGTCAATTGTCAATATTACTCAACAATTTTTTAGTTATTAAATTAATCATCAATTAAATATTCAAATTCTGAGTTATTTTATCAATCAATAATTGAGTTCGGAAAATTGACGATTGTTTTGCTAATCGAAAAGCCTTTTTATGTAATTTAGACTTATTCACTCAATAGTCACTTGACAATTCCTTACTGTCAATTATTTGATTAAATTAATTGAAAAATTTGAATTATTAAGTAGCGAAATGGTAAAACGGTATAAGTCATTTTGGACCAGTGATAGGTATATCAACCAATTATAATTACCGTTAAATTGTGAAACTGTCAATGTTTAATATTAATCTTAAAAATTTTAAATATTAAAGTAACCATCAATTTGTACAATTAAATTTCGGAATATTCTATCAACCAATAATTTAGATAGGAAGATTGACGATTATTTGGATAATCGAAAATCAAGTACCTAAAGTTAGAATTAGTTTGGTAACCAAAAAATTACATTTTAGTATTATCAAATATTTTATTCACCATCAATCGGAAAAATTTAGCTAATAAATTCTATAATATTTTAAATTTGATAAATATAGTTAAACTTTGAACAATATAATGAGATAATCCTTTTTAATATTGCGAAAAATTTAATATTATTGCCTATCCCTAATTTGGACTATTGACCAGTTTTCAATGAATATCTCGGAATCTAAGGGAGATAGCAAAATGTTTTTAAGAACTTTTTTGTAGAGCCGATTGAGAGCTACAACAAATGTATGTTTGGTGAGGAACTAGATTTAGGGTGGATTGGGAGGTTAGAGGATCGTCGGTGTGAAATAATTGTTGAGAGTCTTGAACTAATATCCACGTGCATTTATTCTCGAGTTCGAACCACGCTTTGTCAAATTTACAAAAACAGCTTGTCACTTGTTGATCTTACTGAATTGAATTGTCTATCGGTTTTGCACTGTGAGTCACTGGTTGAATGGTCATGGTCAATAAATAACGTGATTTTCTTTTACTGAAGTTCTGTCGCCGAGTTAATAGACGCTAATGTACTGTGGTCTAAACTCTACAGAGTTGAATTCCATTCAAAACGTGCTATACGACAGACCGTGATGTACTGATTCGTGTTGATTTACGGTGACTCTACTAGACCTGAGCGTTGACCCGGAAAAGGCCGATGATTTTCGTAATTGGGCAAGCTGATCGACCTTGGTCTTGGAGAGGTTGAGTTACGTTTCAAACAATGTAGTAACAAAAATTGCGCTATCTCCCTTAGATTCGGAAATATTCCTCAAAAACTCAACTGGGAGATGAATCGACTTAAACCGTTTTACCACTTCGCTACTGAATTATTTTATTATTTTTCAAATTTCAATAAAGGTAAGTAAACCTCAACTATTGTAAGATGCAACTTCTCATAATATTACTAATCAAATAACTGATGCCAATCCCTGCTGAAAGTCCGACACAATTGAAACACAGGGCAATTATTCTTTTTTACTATCTTTATTTTCTCATATTTAATCAATATGTATTACGAGGTCTAATCAATAATTAATAATATATTTAAAAATCACAGTCTTAGTTGAAGAATTGACAGCAGAAAATACTATCTGTTCTCTATTCATATACATAATTTTTTTAAATTGTTTTGTTTGATACTTATTAATGTGCTCTATGTACATATGGAAATACGTACGCACGCATACAGAAAACAAAAATTTTATCAATTCATATTTTCATTACTTGACTTATCATAGTCAGAGGATAATTTGTGTCACACACAGTCTAGTAATCCCAGACAGATCCACCTAAAATGTCCTTTTTATCTCCGATATGCAGTGGTTATTTTCATTTGTGCGTATGATCATAATACGCGTTAACTTAACATTGGAATTAAATATAACAGTTTCACGAGTGCCTGATAAAATAATTACATGAACACCATTTTTTTTTCTATTGTAAACGCCAGTAAATGAGTACTGACTGAAGAAAACAAAAGCGTTTACCTTCATTTTCCATTGTAAAAATTCATTCATGATGAACAACGATTTTTGAATATTATATTACACAAATATTTACAATGATTTTTCATCTCATGTGCCTATTCATTTCCACACAATAACGATGACAGACAAATAAATTGGAATGTACGTGTAAATAATCATTTCTCTAAATCTCTGAATCAGTTAATCCAATTGTTTGGCATTAATCAATTATTTTTTCCTTTCAGCTACTGACATATTTACATATAAATTCACCTATTTACAACGAGTAAAACCAATTGAAGTCTAATGAATAACGGTGCCTATTCAATTGAAAATCTATAAATCCGTTAATCCGTTGACAATTGATTAGAACGTAACAATCTGTACATTGTGTCACTCTAAAGCCGATAAAGTGACATTTATCAAATAAAATGCATATACGTATGTATACATCGTGAATGATGATTTATAAATTCAACACGTGATTGTGATTTAGGCATTAAACAATCATCAGGATATTCTTTAGTGTACGTACGTGTACGTAAATAGGTATATATACATATATGCAGTATGCACGATGCAATACTGTTTTTGAGTAGGTGTTTTGAGGCACCAGGAATAATCATCGTAAGGAATGTACATAATAAAATGTAAAATGTTGAAGATTTACCACCAAACAACATTTTGTTTGGCATTGAATAGTGAATATTTGGTGCATACACTCGTGTTTGTTCTTGTCAAACGGTGATGCAAGAAATCAATTGTTGACATAGTTGAGTGTACTGCATCTGATCACCACTTATTCGTCGCATTTTAATTCCCTTCACCTCGCGCTCCTCCAATTCACAAACTCTCAATTCGATTTGTACACCTCCAGGATACTCAAGACTCAGTCCACCACCAGCAACTTCCTGTCTTGAGAATATAAATCCTTTTGTTGTTGCATGTGCATCTATTATTTGCTTAACACGACCGAGTATAGCCTCTGAATTGAGGCGACTCGATTCATCGGACAATGTTACTTCTACCTCGGTTGTCGTTGGTGAACTTACTGAATTGAGTCGACCTATTCCACGAGTTATGCTGGGGCGCGATGGATCACAGGGCTCGGATATTATGAAACTTGGCAGCGGGCTGTAGTGGGGAAAATTCTCGTCGAGAGAGTCGACTGATGGGGATGGTGATGGCGCACAGCCGACTAGGGTCACTTGACCCCCGAGGACGTCCGTCACTGATATTTGCGGTGGTATTTTCTTGAATTAGAATGGTTTTTTTGTTAGTGAACATTCGGTTTGGGGGGGCAGAGTGAATGATGCAGGGAAAACTTCATTGGAAACATTCATTCAGAGTTGGAATTATTAAGTATTATTAGGGTAAACTGCCCAGTAGATGGACGCCTAAGAAAACCGCCCAGTGGATGGACGTTTGTTTTTTAGAAATTAAAAAAAAGTGAGTCCATTTTCAGAGAAATGGTTTATTCGAATTGAATAAACTTTATTTGAATCAACTAACTTGTGACGAAAAAAGTTTAGTTTAGTTTTAGGGTAAAAGTGTTTTTTTTGTTTCCTTCGTCCAAATAAACTTTTTAGTCAGAAATTACATAATTGTTTAGACTGCGAAGAGAGCGGAATTCTCAACAATTTATTTGAAATGAATCATTTTTTTAATCAAATTGATAGCTTTTCATTGAAATAACTAAATAAGTTTATGAATTCGTAATTAAACTTGTCTAAACTCATCGAAATGAATAGGAGAATTTAAATTAAACAATCAGATACAAACGTTTCGTTAATGGACTGTAACTGTTTTCCATCATTTTTCAAACTAAAAAAATACAAAATCATTCACATCATCTTTGCATTTCGTCATTTTATCCAATAAACAAATTTCATGCAACAACGAAATGCATGGAATTATTCATATCAGTGATTTAATTACCCTGAGCATGTCAACTGGATGCTCCTCCTGGATCATATCGAGGGCAGGACTATTGCTCGGTGAATAGCTGACTGGTGTTGTCGCTGGTGACCTGTGATGACGCAGGGGGCTCAAATCGAGGGGTGCTGTAGGTGGTTGCGTGGGAGTACCATGAACAATGCTGCCTTGCACAGGTGCTGTAGTCAAACCGCTGAGACCTACGCAATGTTCAAATGTCATTCGCTATTTCGTTACAAGACATTGGAAATTCAACTCAATATTTTAGGGGTGGAGTGGTAGAAAGGTCTAACTCGATTCAATTTTCAGATTAGGTTTCCTGGCAAACGTCGGGATCTAATGGAGATAACGACATTTTCACAGGGAAATTCAGCTAGGGGAGGGCCAGGCAAAGCAGAACGATTTGGGATTTTCTTTAAATCCCAATATTTTCATTTTGAAGTAAAGAAATTAAGGCCTGGGTGGATTATCTTTCGAACGTGAACTTGGTTGTTTTTTTATTTTCATAATCTGAAATGATCTCCAATTGCTATTCAGTTTTACATAGCCCTGAAGTCCCCAAAAATGATGATTG